AAACAAATCTAAGGGGTTCTCCGCGCAATCATTACCTGGTTCTCATGGGGAAATTTTTAAGGTTTTGTGTGGACTTCGATATGTGCGCTACACAAGGAATGCATCCCAACGTCATTAAAACAGCATAAGTTCTCATTCTTCACTGTAAGTGCCCAATGTCCACTGCAGTACCCTGAATTGAATACGTGGTCCCAAAACCGCTTTTTATAAATAACAATTATGAAATAATGGAAAACAAGTTTTGCACACCTGTAAGGTCAAGCTTGGATAGAAGAATTTGGACTGCATATTCGATGGGTCGGAACAGCATTTTCAGAGCTTAAAACTTGCCTAAGGATTCTTAATTCTTCTCCCCTATTTGGCAGATTTTGAGCGTGGAAGATGACCCAAACTGGTACCTGGCAGAACAGGATGGGCGAAAGGGTCTTGTGCCGTGCAATTACATCTCCTTCCGTCCTAACCCCTGGTATATGCAGGCCTGTCCTCGAAACACGGCAGAAGAATGTCTCCTTGAAACTGACCCCTGCACCGGTCTTCCCGTCCAACCCGACGGTGCTTTTGTGGTCCGACGTTCAGAGTCCAATGGACCTGGATTCAGCCTCTCCGTTAAGTAAGTGAAAGGAAGCTTTGTTATTTTATGATTTGGTTAGCTTAAACTTTAAACATTAGTAGGAATTCCTTACCAGAACATGTCATCCTAGTTATTCTCACGTTCGTTCTCACAAATCTTGGAAGAGTGTAACCTACAACTTCGAGTAAAAGTCATTCAAACCAAGTTTACTAGCTGGATTTTAAACGTACATGGTTATTGAGTGGATCTTTTGGTAGTTTGGGCCGAATAGATGTGCTTAAGCGACTCAGATTCCTACTTAACTGGCAGCTATTTTTCTGAAGGTTTGCTTTGATCCGAAAACTCAACTCCTAATCTACCTATTCTCCTGCTTGAGCCGATTTGCGGGCCTAATGTCTTTGAAAAATCTTCGCTTTATTTTATTTCATGATTTTTCAAACCACCTGCGCAGCCTCCTCGGCTATATGAACAATAACTTCTTTGAGGCTGATAGTTTGGGATCTCGACAACCTTTCACAATGGTTTTAAGGCAAATTTGGCTCAGTGTTTCTCGTATTCAGCAACGTTGCTATACGCACAAGATAAGAATGTCGCTCTTCCTCATTTCCACTCCGCAACCAAGATTAGCAGTCAGCCGAACTCAAGCATGGAGAACTTCGCTAGTAGTTGATACGATTGACAAAAACAAGGCAAGCATTGCTAGCTCTTTTAGTAGGTTTGGTAGT